AGCTTAGCTTATACCATCCGTTATACATTAAACGTGCATGCGTAAACGTATTATGCACATGCGCACACGCATATTCGCAGCCGTAAAGGTCTTACGCGCACTAGTAAACGCCTTTGCGCATGCCTCAACGCAACGCATTCGCAGAAAGTTTGTAGCTTTGAGGTCCGGATTATAGATCATTCCGGATTACGGGTGTCCGAATTAACGACTTCTGACTGTAATTAGATTTGATCTGATGTTCAGATACTTATTTGAGTATTTAATCTTTCAATTACATTAAAAAAGAAAATTTAAAAGTAAGACTCCCCTGCCCCCCCCCCCACACATTGCAATTCTAACCTACATGAAAACACATCTACATTTTGTGCCACAATTCTGATCGACATGAATAGTAGGTAGTATGCAATGATACATAGTTAATAATACCACCAATGATTTTCATTTTCTGACAAAAAAGATTCTTGAACCGTAGATGACAAAAATTTAGGGAAAAGTGCAGAATCACCCACTGCTCGAAGCACTTTTAAAAATTGGGTACTTTTCCGTTTCGCCGGTGCAAATCTCGCCAAGCAGACTTTATTGGCGACAACATACAGTATACACATAAAAAATGTTGACAAATGTTAGTTCTAAGAATTTTAATGTTAGTTCTAAGAAATTTTAAAGGCATAAATATTTTAATGTCGTTTAAAATTTTGTAAAAAGCCAATAAATAAAGACAATAAATTTGTAAAAAGACATGAATTTAAGAAATTACTATGCTTTCATGGTTCAACATCCTGATTGCCGGTTCGTATCACGTGACCTCCAAGTGATCTTATCTCACGTAAACTATGATACAAAAATCTAATTATCTACATTAATTTCAAGTTAAATCTTAATTTGGAATACAAGTTTAAATGCACGAGTTATTCAATTCGTACGACTAGCTTACTCAGAAATTATGTAAAACCGCAATGCTTTACTTCGCTAGTGCATTCTCATCAGAATTGATGAATTTAACCCTTGATTTTGCCTTTTCTATATTTTCGCCTTCGGGTGAGCGGTGTAATTGCATCCTAACTGACTTAATTACGCGAATAGCCCTAGGGCATAAAACTGAACTATCTTGTAAACATTCTATGTAAATGTATGCCAATATTGAAAGAAACAATCAATCTGATAAGAAATGGTTGCGACTTGTTTTGAAAATGAGGCGTAAAAGATTACCAGTGAGGATATTCCGTTTAGTCTCAGTTATACCATTATTGGCGACTTTATCGCCTGCGCCGGCCAAACGGAAAAGTACCAAAATTTGCACATACTCGGTATCCATGGTATCCATGTACACACCGACCTATTTTCACTTAAAAAAACATCCCACAATTGCGCACCATTGCGCAAAAGTATTTATACATGCAAAACATCTTAAGCTGTTTTGCATGTATAAATACTCTCTTATATGCATTATTCTAAGTGAGAGGAAGATTATTTTTTCACATAAGCTTAGTGCAAAATAGAATCCAGTATTTACACAAAATAGTGAAGAGAATCTTCTCAATACTTATGACAAATGACAGATTATGTATTTACTTGCGTCTACTTATCTTATTCAGTAAAGACAAGTATTTTGGCATTTCAGTTAATTTTTACAATATACCTTAATTTAGATATATAAAATTGCACAGCATAATGAATTAATCTTATGCCACTTACTTCTTTTAGATTTTTAGTTTGTATGAACAATAATACACTTGTGCATGAATTTCAAAATTTTTGGACTAAACGTTAAAATATGTAAGCCTGATATACTAAATATTAAAAAAACACATAGAAATATGAAAAAAATTCAAATATTAGGCTATTTATTTACCAATTGTATTTCATTAACTTAATGGCACCCTTGGAATGCTGGTCTTCTTTAGGGAGATTGCAAGCGATCCAGAACGGCAAATGTCAACTCAGTCATCAGATCAATGAGCTCACAAACAAAATCATTGCTGCCCAAAGATCCTGCATCTTACAATGGATACCGGCTCATGTAAATATTTTTGGTAATGAGAAAGTCGATGAGCTTGCAAAGGCATGTCGTGATTCTCCTCAGCCATCCAACTGCCTGACCCTCGTTGATGCCAATGCAGTTGCCAGCCAAAGACTAATCGGTCAAGTTAAGGGAAACTCCATCCCGGAATTGAACTGTGACAGAGCCATATCGATTATCATAACCAGACTTAGGACAAATCATTTAAAATGGCTGAGGATTTCTGAAAACGGACAGCATAGTTACACCAACATTTGTCCTCATTGTCCAGATGACATCCCACTGTCTCGCCATCACATCTTTAGCTGCCCAGCAATCCAGGCCAGGCTGTTTAATATCGGCATTGAAGACCCAGTGGACCTATTTTATACTGATAGAGCTGCTGAGGTTGCAAAAGCTGTCTTTGACAGCTTCGGAGCTATATAATTGCACTTTGTCATAGACACGATATCCTCATCATCAATGGCACTTTCAAAATTCATTCCATAATCTATTTTTTACATACATGTTAATTAGAATTTTAATTATCTTCTTGCTTTTAACCTAAAACACTTATATTAAGAATATTTTATAATCATTAATTAAATACATTGATAACTTCAATACTTTCATCTATTTCCTTCTCAACAATAAATAATTTGCAAGAAAACATTGGTGGTTATAATTTAAAAAAATTAAGATTTATTAAATAAAAGAAGCAGAGTAAAATATGGCTTATTACTTCAATGAGTTCCATGAAACAGAATTTGAAAATAATCTTAGTTTTTGCTTAGTTAGCTAGCTATTTCTAGCAGTCCTATTTTACAAAAGTCTGTTAGGCCACATTTCGGAACATGGCATTCTTTGAATTAAAACCATAAAAATTGTGACGAAGCGCTAAATATGGGTATTTTCTATAGGATTATTCTATAGGTATTTCTATGGGATCTATATATAGGATCCACCCAGAGAAAATTCTTCAAGTTTTATTTCTTTAAAAAATAATTTCCTTCAAGGACTGGAAACTGAGTTTGAGTTGCAAGTTGAAACTGGCATGGTATAAAGGACTGAAATTTGGAGAGGGGTGGAGGAAATGTAAAGTCTGACTGCGATTAAGAAAACTATCTAAACATTTTCAATCAGCGAAGGCTTACACTACATTAAAACTTCTGTTTGATTACAGAACTTGATGGATAAACAGTCATTCCTTTAAATTAGTATTTCTTTAAAATGACTGGAGACTAAATCTTGCATAAATAAAATTTTGATACTTAACATAATATCACAACAATCTTGGCAGAGTTTGGCAAATTTTACGAAAGAAAAAAAGGGGAAAGTGCAGAATCATCCACTGCTTGGTGCATTTTTAAAAATTGCACATACTTGGTATCCATGTACACATCAACCTATTTTCACTTGAGAAAAATATCCTAGAATTGCATAAAAATGGCATTGTGCACTCCCTTGACTTTATACATGTACACATCAACCTATTTTCACTTAAAAAGTCAAAAGGAAATTGACAAAAATCCAATTCTTCTTACTTTTGTGAAAAGCGCCAACCAAATAAGTGGGCGATTCTTCACTTAACCTGAGAAAAAAAAAAAAAAAAAAATTATTGTAAAAAGTTACATATTACATACATACATAGCTTATGTTTCAGCTATATATTTATCCCGAAAAACAATGAGTAAATCTAGTCACAAACAAGTTTTTGTTTGAGGTGGAAACTTTGTACCAATCACTTTTTGAAATATAATTACTTTATGTAATTTTGCAGCAGAAATTTCACCTTTTTCTTTTGTTATAGAAAAATCAGTTAGAGGGTGCCCTTTTGATTATCACCAAGTTGTTTTTTCATTCATCGCCAAGTTGTTTCATTTATGGTAACCTGAGTAGTTGAATGTTATGGAAATCTTATTATGACGTAATTGGGTGTGTGATTACGGTCAATTTTAATGATGGGAAAAGATTTGGAAGAAGTACATTGTTATTTTGTGGTTTATACGGTGAAATGTCTGAATGTAGTAAGATTAATTTAAAGTTTCTGTACGATTTCGAACGAAAGGAAAAAAACCATTAATTGACTGGTGTGTAAATGAAGGTAGTATTTATTATAAGTGTCCTGTATGTAGGAAGGAAATGTGTATGCTCGAACGTCAGAGGATACCGGCACTACGGAGGATATTTTTTACTCTTAATTTTGTGAATTTATGTAGAGACATCAGTATACAGATTCTAGTTCAGATAATTTTAGGAATACGGAGGATATTTTTTACTCTTAATTTTGTGAATTTATGTAGAGACGTCAGTACACAGATTCTAGTTCAGATAATTTTAGGAAGTTTTTGGATGCTGTTAAGGAATTTTATTTGAGTAACAACATGGAAATTTGTAAATAAGGTAAGTCGATATTTCTTTTGTGTAGTGCTAAGAAGATTTTCCTTTTTTGTGTTATTTCATTGTTTGATTTAAAATGTAGTTTATTGAGATTATATAGTTTTTGTTGGCTACTCTTTTGGCTTTTTAAGTGAATATAGATAAATGTGTAGATGAATAAAGTCAAGGGAATGCATGATGCCTAGTTTGTGCAAGTCTCTGATTCCTTTAAAAATGAAAATAGGTCGATGTGCACATGGATACAGAGTTTTGTGTAATACCTTGATTTGCTACTTTGGATTTGAGCCAAAAATTGCCAAGGGGAACCCATAAATATATTTTTACCAAAAAATACCACAAGCATAAAACTTAAATCCATATTTAAACCAGAAAAGAATCATAATCTTTCTTTAAAACTGCAGGAACTTGCAATACAGCAAAAAAAAAAAAAAAAAAAAAAAAAAACATACAAAAAAGGCAATGTTGAAAATTCAATATTTACATGTGCATGGCGACTTCTACTGAGGTTGCTGCAATAATATGAAAATGCCCATTTTTTCCCCTCCATTGAAAACAAATAAATAGTTTATTACTTATTTTAACAAATTAAAAATGTTCATACCTCACACAAGATCAGCAATACACTTTATGTCACTGCCCAAAATGTCTGGAAATCCTGAATTCTGCCACTGGGCACCTCTCAAAATCCTAAGAATTATGCCATTAAACCAGCCTTTACTTCACATAATGAGGTTTATTTTGTACTTACACAAATTCTCACTGCAGTGGTGAGTAAAAGTTCTTTATAATTGCACATGCTCAAAAATAAGAAATATATCTTCTGTGTAGATTAGCATGCTTCATCAAGTTTTTTTTTTTCCCCCAAAAAACTTGATAGAATCATAACTTATGAGATCTTTCTCTTACGTGCATGTGCATGCTTAAGACATCCTTTCATATAGATGACTTTTTACATGCCCCACACACAGGCTTTGCTGCTGTCTGATAAGATATAGGCTTATTTAAATAACCCTTTTATATAAATGGCTTGTTACAAGCATAGGTTTGTGTGAATAAGCATAAGGTAGCTCGAACTACTTTGTGACATAAATGACTTTTTACATTTTTCACACAAAAGGTTTCTCTTACTTTTCATTACCATATGCATATTTAAATTAAAGTTAAGATTAAATATCTTTTGATATACTTCACACACATAAGGGTCTCCTGTGTAACAATACATATGGGAATTAAAACTATTTTTTTTTTTTTTTTTGACTAAATGACTTCATATATATATATCACATGGGAGGTTTGTCTCCTGTGTGAAGAAGCATATGGGAGTTCAAACTACGCTTCTGACTAAATGACTTCTTACATACTTCACAAACATAAGGTTTCTCTCCTGTGTGAAAAAACATATGGGAGTTCAAACTACGCTTCTGACTAAATGACTTCTTACATATTTGACAAACATAAGGTTTCTCTCCTGTGTGAAAATGCATATGGGAGTTCAAACTACACTTGCGATTAAATGATTTCTTACATATTTCACACACAAAAGGTTTCTCTCCTGTGTGAAGAAGCATATGGGAGTTCAAACTAGTTTTCTGACTAAATGGTTTCATACAAACTTCACACACATGAGGTTTCTCTCCTGTGTGAAGAAGCATATGGGAATTCAAACTACCCTTGTGACTAAATGACTTCTTACAAACTTCACATACATGAGGTTTCTCTTTTGTGTGAATAAGCATATGCACATTTAAATTAGACTTATGACTAAATGATTTATTACATACTTCGCACACATGAGGTTTCTCTCCTGTATGAAAAAGCATATGAGAATTCAAACTACGTTTGTGACCAAATGATTTCTTACATAATTCACACACATGAGGTTCCTCACCTGTGTGAAAAAGCATATGTGAGTTCAAACTACGCTTGTGACTAAATGACTTCTTACATACTTCACATATATGAGGTTTTTCTTCTGTATGGAAAAGCATATGGGAGCTCAAACTACGCTTGTGACTAAATGACTTGTTGCATACCTCACAGACATAAGGTTTCTCTTTTGTGTGAACACGTATATGATCATTCAAACTATTCATTCGATGAAATGATTTCTTACATATTTCACACACATGAGGTTTCTCTTCTGTGTGAATATGCATATGTGTGTTTAAATTACATTTATAACTAAATGCCTTCTTACATACTTCACACACATAAAGTTTTTCTCCTATGTGAATAAGCATATGATAGTTTAAACTACCTCTTTGACTAAATGACTTCTTACATACTTCACATACATGAGGTTTCTCTCCTGTGTGGATAAGCATATGTTTGCTTAAATGACGCTTTTGACTAAATGACTTTTTACATACTTCACACACACAGGGTTTCTCACCTGTGTGAATAAGCTTGTGATCGTTTAAACTATTTTTTCGACTAAATGACTTTTTACATACTTCACATACATGAGGTTTCTCTTTTGTGTGAATAAGCATATGCACATTTAAATTAGACCTATAACTAAAGGACTTCTTACATACTTCACACACATGAAGTTTCTCTCTTGTGTGAATAAACATATGATAGTTCAATCTATACTTGTGACTGAATAACTTTTTACATACTTCACACACATAAAGTTTTTCTCTTGTGTGAATGAGCTTATTCATCATTAAATCGCTCTTTTGTGTAAATGATTTGTTAAAACCCTCGCACTGATGTTTTTCGTTTGTATGTGTATGCATGGCCTCTTTTAAAATATTACTTTTTTCAAAACATATCTTCTAGAACTAGAAAATTAAGCATTATGTTGATAACTGAGAGCCTTGATATCATGTAACTTGCAACACAACTTACAATAATGTGCATGCTCAGCATGAATATAAAATGTGCTCTTTAACAAAAATCTGACAGAAGTACTTGGATGTTTCGCTTTATAAACTCTCAGTACATTATGCTGAAGACTTGTACGGTGTGTGACACATGCATGAATTTATTTCCATGATAACTTCAATAAAATTTTGACTTTGTTTTACAGATATATAATTTCTTATTCAGGTACATATTATTGTCAATTATCATGTAATGCAAGTCTACCATTGATTTCAGGAAGTTTACACATGAGTATGTATACACTGTTTAGAAATTAATATATATATTTAAAGAAAAAAAACTTTAAAAGATATACAATAGCCAACAGCAAGCATAAAAATAAACATTATCAGGAATTCCTTGTTCATAGAACATTTTCACGATGGGCAAAGGCAAAGAGGCGACCGAACACTACCTCCCGAGAGGTGGTGCCATCTAGTTTGGCTGGGGTTATACACAGTCATCTCAGCACGTAGCTGAAAATTGAAAATTTACAAATCCAGATCTTCAATAAGTCTTTAAACTGCAGCGCAAGCTATAGCTATTTATCCTGGGATTTCAGATTTTTGAGAATCATGGCAAATTGTAAGATTCTACTGAGAAAAACCTGCAAATTTATCCAGTGCAAAATCAACAAGCCAGGTACGGATGGGCAAACCAAGGAGGTTAGAATAGGAGGAACCAAGGGGCAAACTTTTTTTGGCCGCGGATGAAAAATCGAAAAAACAAGTTTGGCGGGCCAAGATAAATTTTTCTAAAATTTGAAAAACATTATAAAAGTATTACAATTGAAATGTGTTAATGAGATAAATGGAATTGTGATTTCATTGTTAAAAGTTTCTTATGTTGAGATTCGAAGTGAGATGTATTGATTCTAAGGGACGAGGCTAGACAGATACACAGACAAAGTAGACAGATGTCTTGTTTTGCACCCGCTAAGTCTTTCTGCACCGATGGGCGAAAAATCAAGCATAGGTGCGAAGGAAAGGTATATAGAAAGAGGAGCAATTTCGTATTTTGATGAGAGTAAAAAGGAACTTCGTACATTTTGTACGACTTCAAAAGGCCAGAAAGAAAAGATGGGACAAAATAAAATTTAAAATAAATGGCCCAAAAATAATAGAGGGGAAAAAAAGGGGGCCTATAGAAAGAAAAGGAAAAGAAGTAGAAAATACCCTAAAAATACGATTGTGCCATGAGTGTAGTTAAGGAGTTCATCTGCAAAAATTCGTCTCTTTAAGAAGCAAACTTTAGCTAAGTTAAAAGATAAATAAATAAATGAATGAATTCCTACATGGTAATGTGTATGCCCTTATCTTGAGACCTAACTAGAATAGACATATATCATCACAAAGATATACATAATATTTTAACTAAAGTAACATTAAATATTACCGTTCCCAAAATTTAATGTATATTTCATAATAACAGTAATTGACAAAATCATAAATCCATACACAGTGTGAGAGCATTTCAGCAAAAATAAATTATACAGTTTATTTTTCTTAAATATTAGTTAAATATAAAATTATTTTATTAATTTAACCGTTGTAATTTATTATAGTACAAGTTTAACAAATTGCGTCACACTGTATTTTTATTTGCTCATAATTCTAAGTTTGAGACCTGAAAAAAAAAAAAAAAAAGTTGGGGATCTTAGTTACAAAATCACAATCTCTACTCATCGATGGTCAAGAGATACCTATTTTTCCCTCTCAAGAAATTCCTAAACACGAAAAGGGGGGCCCCGAAGGGTGTGAGTTGCTGATAAGAACGGACTACTGATAAGGAATGTGGCGTCTCTACGGAATAGTTACGAAGAAAAGAACCACATGACCTGCTACTATTAACAACTATTGTATAATGCTAGAATCTTATGAAAATAATAAATAAAGAAATCTAATGGCACTCTAGTAATAGAGAAACAGATATTGTATAGAGAACAGATTGTTACTTATCTGAATATTCCATGTCAGGGCCTCTTTAGGATTTCTCGTGTTGATAGTGAACAGCTAACAAACACCTGAAGTTTCGAAGAAGCGAAGTTTCCTGTTTCAATTGGATGAATGAGACATTCTCTGTCAATTTACTTCTGAAATAATTCTTTCTAATGTTCATAGTTGCAGTGGCGTAGCGAAGGGGGCAAGGGAGTGCATGATGCCCCGGGCGCCGCTAGTAAAGGGGCGCCAAATGGTCTCCAAACAAGATTTTCCGGAAAATTTCAGTTTTTATTTTGATCGATTTCTGGATAATATATTTAAAATTAATAACTATTGTAATATAATTAATTATTTATTTTCTTGATTTGCCTGATAAAAATGTGTAATAAAATGTTTGCAGTACATCAACCAAAACGTTTCTTCCTGACCACTTTATTTCTCCAAAAGTAGAGATATATTTTATTTTTTTTTAAACGAAATGCACGTATATCCTCCCGCTTTTTATTTTAAAACGATAACACGACCTTCTCCCGAATTTCTCAAACATATCCAATTTTTAAAATCCGATTCCATAATCTGGAAATGACATTTTGGGAAAATCGTAACGCTTTCGCTACAATTGATTGCGGTTGACTCTCCTGTAAACGACTGATGGCCTTAACTAAGTCATCTTGCTAAGACATCGTATATTCACTGCTACGAAGCATTCAACGCACGTCAATTGTTTTTAATCTCCTGTTACAAAAGGAATACTGCAGGTCGCTCCTTATCTAAAACGGATAGTTTTCGACAGACAAAATTTGCATATTCCCCACTTTGTAAACGTTGTAATTTCCCTTTATAATCTCTTCTTTTTCCTTTTGTTCAAAAAGATTGTCGGTTATATGGTTATTTCCAAGGAGGTTAGAACCTCCTTGGTTATTTCATACGAAACCCACAATATCCCCTAATTGTTTTGAGCAGTGAATGTGATTGCATGACGTTACTCCCCAGTAGAAAAGAAACAGAACCTAAAACTCCACTACAGATCTATAGAGAAAATGTTTTTCCAAACCTAAGAGTCGCACTTCAAATACTACTTACGATTTCGTTATCAAATGCTAACTATGAACGTTCGTTCAGCAAATGAAAATAAATTTTCACATATTTAGAATCAACGGTGGGACAAGATCCCCTAAGTCATCTAGCCTTTTTAAGTGTGGAAAGAGAAAAATTTGAAAGGGTCGACTTTCATGAAGTAAATAATAAATTTCCTTCATCCAAGGTAAGAAAATTGTATACTGTTGTGTCTAGCGGTGTGGGTTCAGTGAAATGCATGACGCAACCAAAACAGACTAGTTCACGGCACAAACATTTATTTCTAACTAACTCATAAGACAGCAGCGATGTGCTATTTACGCAGTTACATTACATTCTACCTACTCTCGTTCACAGAGGTTCTCGGGTATAATACTCTCGAAATCAGATGCTACATCCCTCACCACTTATTTAGAGATTTAATCTCTGAGGAGCTTTGCGGATGCTCGAAGATCGTCTAAGTCCTGGCTGAGGTTGCTGCAACTCTTTATCAGGATCCACTGGAAGGACTGGATCAGTTTTCCTTGGAACTGACGATGTTTCAAGTCCGGCGGAAGTTTGCACAACTTCACTTCTTTGTTCGATGTCCTTGACCGGAGCCTGTGGCTTCACGTTGCCATCTGAAGTAGCAGCCATACGAGGTTCATAGATTACCGGTGCAGACGGAACCTCGCTCCCTACCGAGCTGATCTGATCGACGTGCCGGCGCAGTAAAGTTCCTTGAACGTCAATTGTATAATGCAGCGCTCCATCCTTGTTTGTCACTCTGCCGATTTTCCATCGGGAATTTGCCGGTCTATAATCCCGAATGGCAACCTTTTCTCCGATCTTAAAATTTCTGTCTTTGAAATCGTAAGCATTCCTTCGGATGCGTTCTTCAACTCTTCGTTTAAGATTTGGAACAACTAAATCAATTCGAGTTCTAATTTCTCTTTTTAAAAATAACGTTGCTGGACGAGGTTGTCATGTTCGGTGCCTTTCTATAATTCATGCGGAATATGGCAAGTTTTTGCTTAATATTTCCTGGATAACCTTGCATTGCACGTAATGCTTGTTTAACGGCGTAAACATACCGCTCTGCTTGCCCGTTACTTGCCGGTTTAAATAGAGCACACGTTTTGTGTTTAATTCTATTATTCCTTATAAAAGTTTCAAATTCCCCAATAATGGTTAATTCCATTATTCCTTATAAAAGTTTCAAACTGAGGACCATTGTCACTCACTACTACTAAAGGCAGTCCGTATCTTGCAAAACAGTCTCTCAAACATTCAATTGTCTGAAAGGAATTTGCTGACTTTAAGGTATACATTTCTAGCCATTTAGAATGTGCGTCAATGATAATCAAGAACAACATTCTTTCAAAAATAGGGCCTTCAAAATCTGCGTGAATGCGTTCCCAAGGCGCACTTGGATATTCCCAGTGTTGGACCCTTGCCCTTACTGGATCTGATTTGAACTTAATACAATAGACACAGTTCCTAGAAACTTCTTCAATATCATGATCAATTCCCTTCCCAAAGAAGTAGGATCTGGAGATTGCCTTCATTTTAACGATTCCTAAATGTCCTTGGTGTAACTCTTCGAGAATTTTAACTCGGAGGTTTTTCGGAACAACTACCCTCTGACCACTCGGCTTCCCTACCTTCCAAACTTTCTCCAGATTTTAATTTCACAAAACGATTATTTAATTCTTCATCAGCTCGCGTTTCCCGAGCTATCTCCCTAGCTGTTACCGGAAGAGTTTCAATTTGGGAGAGTTGGAATATTTCAACATCATCCTTAATGCTTAAATCTTCGGACTTAAGAGGCAGGCGCGACAGGCAGTCAGCATTACCGTGTTCCTTGGTATTTCGATACACAATATCAAACTAATATGCTTGCAATATCAGTGCATAATGTAAGAGTCGGATGGCTGTAAGGATAGGAAGTCCTCTTTTCGATTTGAAAATAGCCACTAAAGGTTTATGAGCTGTCACCAGAGAAAGGCGTCTGCCCTTTAGGTATAGATAAAACCTTTTGACAACCCAAACAATTGACAGTGCTTCTTTATCGATTTGGGCGTATTTCTGCTCTGTGTTAGTCAGTGTCCTCGATGCGAAAGCTATAGGCCTTTCTGTTCCGTCAGACAAAACATGCGAGAGCACTGCCCCAAGACCTACCGGAGATGCATCAGTAGCTAGCATTAACGGTAATGTGGGATCGTAATGCATTAAAACTCTGTCTGAACAAATTTCCTTTTTTATTTTTTCAAAAGCGATTTGACAGTTTTTTGACCAACTCCATTTAACATCTTTTTTTGTTAAATTATTTAATGGATGTGCCAAAGTTGCCAGATTAGGGCAAAATTTGGCATAAAAATTCACTAATCCCAAAAAGCTTTTGATGTCTTGGACGCCTTTCGGCGTAGGGGCATTAGCAATTGCCGAAATCTTTTCATCCGTTTTATGCAATCCAGCGGCATCAATTTTATGCCCTAAAAATTTAATCTCATTTTGAAAGAATTTACTTTTAGTTAAGTTTAATTTTAGGCCGTGCTCCTTGCATTTTTAAAAAAATATTTCCAAGGTAAGTAATTAATTTTTAAATGAGACTGATCATCCGGTCCTGTCACTCGATCATCATCCATAAAAATTTTAATTCCTTCGATACCCTGAAATAATCCCTCAACATAGCGCTGCCAAATAGCTGGGGCAGCATTTAATCCATACATTAAGCATTTACAAATATACAACCCCTTATGCGTGTTTATTGTTAATAACCGTAGGCTCTCCGGATGCACCTTCATTTGTAGATAAGAATGACTGAAATCAAGTTTCGAGAAATTTTTACCTCCATTAAGGCATGAAAATATTTCTTCGAGTTTTGGTAATGGATGCTGTGGCACTTCCAAATTAGGATTCAGAGTCACAGAATAATCAGCACAAAGCCTAATGGAACCATCAGATTTAACAATTGGCACAACTGGTGTTGCCCATTCTGAAGTCTCAACCCTCTCAATGATACCTTCTTTCTCAAGCCGATCAATTTCTGATTCAACTCTATTTTTTAATGCGAAAGGTACCGGTCGTGACCTACAAAATATTGGTTGAGTATTAGGTTTTGAGGTTTCAAATTTAGTTTTACTTCGTGATTGTTAATTTCACCTAATTTACCGTCAAAAATTTCCTTATACTCCTCAAGCAATTTTTTTAAATTCAATTCACTAGAAGTTTTCAATGTTTTGATGGCATTCCAATCGAGATTGATTTTATACAGCCATTCTCGGGCCGAAGATTGTGTCCAAATTTTCCTTCACAATGTATAAATTTAAAACTAATTTTTGACCTTGGTATTCAACTTTAACAGGAACATATACTAAAGGTACCACCTTATCATCCCTGTAAGTTTTAAAAACTAAATTTGTAGGCTGAATCTTTTTATTCGAAATTTTTCTAAATTTATTTATAGACATTACAGAAACTGTTCCCCCAGTATCAAGTTCCATGCTAACTGGTTTGTTTTCACTTTTAACTTGAACCATTATTGGCGGTTTTTTTTGGCTCTTCCTCTCTTAACATGTGCGTTCTAGAGTTAAATCCATACATGAGGACCTCATTTTTCGAATCATAATCATTATTTGCCTCAACTTTCTTTTGTTTAACCTGGCGGTTTTTCCTAGACAAATAACACGCCTTTTCGATATGTCCAATTTTTTTTACAAAAGCGGCATTCACTTGTTGCAAATCTACAGTTGTTTTTATTGTGATTTGCTCCTAAGCAACGCGAACAAGTTTCATTTTTACCTTTATTATTCTTAGCAACAAAGTTTTGTTTCCGCGGTTTGGACTCATTTTTCTTGGTTTTAAGTACCTTCAGTTCTACGGAATTTCCTATAATCTCATTTGCACCCTTAACCGCCTTTTCCATCGCCAAGGCTATCTTTAATGTTTTCTCTAAATCGATATCATCTTCCTGAAATAATCGATCTAAGATATTACGATCTCGTAGACCGCTAACGAAAACATCCCTTAACATTGGTATTTAGCATATCCTCTTTATATTCACAAGGAATCGCTAACGAGCGTAATTCAGTGACATAACTACTAATTGATTCCCCTCATGCTGTTTTCTATTAATAAACATGTGCCGACTAGGTATTATTAAAGCTTTAGGATTTAAATGATCCTTAAGAACCTTTTTTAGTTCGGTAAAATTTTTAATCTGAAGGATTATCCGGAGAGAGTAAATTTTTCAACAAATTATACAATTTCGCATTCAAGCTTGAGATCAGAACTTTCCCACGTTTTGCCTCTGGAACATTTTGAATGTCCAAAAAAGCCTCAAATCGTTCTATGAACGAATCAAAATTTTCTACCGTTTCATCGAACTTATCAAAAGAAACAGAAATTTTGTCTTGTTTATGTTCCGATTTCTCTTGCAATGCGACCATTAAAGCTTCATTTTGCTTTATTAATTCTTCAATTAACTTCTCCATCCTTTCAAAATAAAAATCAAATAACTTTCCTACCTTTTGCAGTTTTCGGGGAATCCCCTAAATCCAAGTTTCGGTTTTGCCACTACTTTTACGCATGTAACCGAGTGCGCCGAGTCGGGAACGATTCTCTTCTCACACAGCCTCGTCGCCAACTTGTTGTGTCTAGCGGTGTGGGTTCAGTGAAATGCATGACGCAACCAAAACAGACTAGTTTACGGCACAAACATTTATTTCTAACTAACTCATAAGACAGCAGCGATGCGCTATTTACGCAGTTACATTACATTCTACTCTACTCTCGTTCACAGAGGTTCTCGGGTACAAGAGTACTGATACTCTCGAAATCAGATGCTACATATACATAGCAATTAATTGTATTCATGTATTATATTATTATTAATAAATATAAGTGCCCGACTAAGTCGAGGTGCACGTGATTGAAGCGAGATGAGGGCAAATTAAAAGTTTTAAGTTGGCTGGTGGTGTGTCTGACAATTTTAGATCTTGGGCACGTTTCCTCGAAGCCTTGATGCCAGGATGTGACAGACGATGGAACTGACTAAAAATGGCATGGCGAAATCCGGAGAGAACATAAGGTCGAAATTTTGAATCCTGAACATCACAATAAAGTGATTTTCCAGGTGACAGCTGCATAGGTTGAAAGTTGAGATTGGTGGAAGAATTACTTTTCAAGAGGGTTTGTAGTTCTGAATCCCGGTGTTGTTCATCTGCAAGGGCAGCAAACTTTATTGGCGAAGGAACGGCTAGTTCTTCAATACGAGACAAGGTGTCTGCAACAATATTCTGCGGACCCTCAATATAACGGATAGTTGTTGAAAATTGGCCTATGAAGTCTAGTTTTATCCTGTTAAAAAGCATAGATTAAGGTTTTGTGATTTGTGAAGATCATGAAAACGTGTCCCTCTAGCATATGGCGAAAATATTTGACAGCTTCATAAATTCCTAACAATTTGCGATCGTAAGTGCTATATCTGGTTTGTGCTGGGGAGAGTTTTTTTAGAAAAATATGAGTCTCCATAATTCTTGACTGTTGCAAAACTGCTCCTACACCTGTTGTTGATGCGTCAACGTGTAGAGACATTAGGTTATTTTTTGGAAGCAGAAGAGATGAAAAATATGCAACGCCTTCGCCGGGAATCGAACCGTGGACCTCTGGAGTACCGGCCCAGCGAGCAGAACCACTACACAGCGAGGGCAGGCTAGGAAAGCGGGAGAAATACCTTATATACTTATCTTTTTAAAGGGCGACTGGGGTTTTTAGGGAACCCAGTTGCCAAATCCTGGGTGTGGAGAATCCTCATCAACACCCCTTTTAGTTCGGGCATCATTGTAGAGGCATTAGAATATTTGTAAGCAAGAGAGATTGAAAAATTAGCAAACCGCGGACCTCTGGAGTACCGGCCCAGCTTGCAGAACTACTATACCACGAAGGCACGCTAGGAAAGCGGGAGAAATACCTTATAAAAGTAGAGTGATAATGGTTTAGATGCGGAAGGATACTGCAAATTTGTTGCCGAAATTAAATCATTTTTGCATTTTTGGAACGCTTCGCGAGATCCTCTGGTCCAGGTTATAACACGTTTATCGTGTTTCTTGCTTCCTACCAAAAACGAATCTGTTTTTGGTTGCTTACATGAGTACACTTGTGTGGTTGCTTACATGAGTACACTTGTATGGTTGCTTACATGAGGTAAGAAACGTCGATAAAAATTGAGCATAGCAAGAAATCTTCTTAAGTCCTTCACTGTAGATGGTTCGGACACATCGCGGATAGCGGTGACTCTGGAAGGGGTCGAACGCCATCAGCAGAAATTTTGTGACCAAGAAAGGATACTCTTGGTTGGCCAAAAACGCATTTGGAAGGATTAAGACTGACACCGTACCTTTGAAAACGTTCAAAAATTGTTCTGAAATATGATAGGTGTTTTGCTCTGAAGAGGAAGCGATTAAGACGTCATCAAAATAAGGTATACGAGAGTCGAGGCCCATTAACACCTGATTCAGGACGCGTTGGAACGTTTGAGGAACACTGCATAAGCCGAAAGTCATGA